TTAAATTTTAGATTTAAACATGACATATTTTCTTAATTAAACATATTTTTAAAAATCTAACCTATTTTTTAAATTTCTTTAAAAACTTATTTTAGTTCCTACATATTTTTTGTTTTTTTTTCAAGATAATAAATCTAAAATGTTTTTTTAAAATTAATTAATCGATTTTTAATATTAAATACTGTATAAGATAACTAATTAACAAAATATTATAAAATTATTTATTTACTGAAATAAGTCAATTCGTTAAAAATAAATAGTTTTAAAATTATCTAAATGTGAAATTTTAACTAAATAAAGTTATAAAAATAAACTTCACATAAGAAGTAGATTAACAAACGTTTTCATAAATACTTTTTTTTTTAATAATCTAAAATTAAAATTTAATTAATTTTTTGTAGAAATATATAACTTTTTAAAAATTATCTGTAAATAATTTTCAAAATTATTATCTTTTATAAGATATAAACGAGTTAATTTTAAGTAATAAAGCAATAATTTTATCTATAACTTTCGCATATGATTTTTGTAAAATTATTATTTTTAAGATATAAATGAGTTAATTTTAAGTTGTAAAAAAATCATTTTATCTTTTTAGTATTTCTTAGGAATTGATTTTAAAATATAACTTTTTAGTATATCTTAGGATTTGATTTTAAGTTATAGAAAGAAAATTAAAAAATTATTTTATGCTTTTCAGTATCTCTTAGGAGTTAATTTAAAGTTATAAAAGAAATTATTTTATTTTTTAAGTATGTATTTGGAGTGCATTGAAAAACAATCCCAATGAAGGAGCGTATTTCAATAATTTCAAAGTGGACATAACTAAACTTCAATAGTGAATTTGTGAATCAGCTTCAAAGTGTGGTTGAGTTGAAGCAAATTCAAGATTAAGGGATTAAATAAAGATTATTAATTGGTGTGTAGTTTAAGAAACAAATGAATCTGTCCAGAAAATTTTAAGAGAATGAGAGAAAAAGTAGTGAAAACTTATGTGTAAATCCTTTTTCATACTCCCAACATAACTTCATTCAATGCAATAATCTTCTTCAAGAATCAATTATGATAGCTTAGTACACGACATTCAAGTAATGTTGATGAAGACAATAATATTTTCTATTATGCTAGTTTTAGTCTTTTAATAAAATTTAGATTTTGAATTGTTTCAATCACCATTTTTTATTGCTTGTTAATAGCTTTGTAACTTGTAAAAGAAAGAAATTCACTCAATTGCTTGATACTAAGAAATTATCCCCGTTTCCACAAACACAAAAGTTGGAACCCTAGACCCCAATCAATAATTTTATAAGTTTAATTGCGAGAATAATAACAATAATAGACAATATTAAAAAAATTTATAGTATTTGTATAAAATGTTTGCTATAGTGTATTCTTAGATTAAGACTTTTAGTTTTATCAAACAAAAAACTGATTAATAATATTCCTAGAATGTTTTTTATTTATTTAAATTTTTCACAATAATTTCTAACAAAAATTGGATAATTTAAACTAAAATAATATTATATGGTCAAAGAATAAGTATAGAAAAATTAAAGTATGAAAAGAAGAAGAAAACAAAAGTCTTGCACAAATGTTTTGAGAAAGAGATACAAAGACAGATAAAAAAAGATTTACCAAAAAAAAAATTCTGTACCAAAAAAGACAAATCTAAAAATAAGAAAATATAAAATAACAGATTTGAATAAAAAAATGTTGAAAGATTTACCAAAGAATATTTACATAAGAAAATTAATATAAACTTTTAATGTAACAATATAAAAAATATATTATTTATTGTGAAAGGAAAAAAATCGATTACAGATTTATCTCAATTTTAATATTATTTTTCATAATATATAAGCTTTATACTGTCAATTAATTTCAAAATTTCAATTATAAAACATTCATCAATTAAAGGTCTAATTTTCAAGTTAAATGGTTAAATAGGATTAAACAAATAACATTAAAAAAAAATCAGAACATGGTAAAATGAATAAGTATTATATGGAAAGTGAAAACCAAAAACAAGCATAAATGTGTAGGTGTGTCAAAATATGCAGCAATTGTCTTTTTTTCAGCCAGAGAAGCACTTTTCATATAAACAAACTCTAATTGCTCCAAGAACAGCTAAGTAAACAAAACTGCAGAGTGAGGAAGGATCTGCAGGAAACACTTTACTTTCCTATCTTTGCAAGCTTTTGGCCTTGAAACACAACATACCACATATATGCTGTTGAGTATAAAGAAGCACAAAAGATCACTAATCAGATCAAACTAATTAACTAAACATACAAGAATATCATTTTAAATCAAAACTTAAAAACAAAGTCATTAATGATGATGAATGAATCATGAACTGTATGGATGGAACATGATCCTCAAAGCATCACAGCAGAAGCAGAAAGCAAAATGTAGCCAAAAACAACTTGCCGACGTGAAGAATCATGAAAGATCAGAAGAAGAAGAGAGTGAAAATATGTATATAACTGAGCATGGCATGCCGGCAAGTCATCCTTGGCTGCACTCTACTTTGTGCCTCTTGTTGTGAGATGAGAGAACCTTAAGCTGGCTTGATGAGTGTTGTGGAGTCTGAGGTGCATGTGGATGTATATATAGGAGATGAGAAACAGTGAATAAACAGAGAAAGACATATTATAATGGAGTGAGAGGTGCAGAAATATGAGATCACTCTGAGTCACCGATTTTCTATATCAGGATTATGGAAGGCAGCCACATAAGGAAAGGGCCACGTGCAACTCCTTATCTCTGTCCACGTTATTCCCTTCATTTTTTAATCTCAACACCTCTTCCGGTGAGATCATTCATGAATCATCTACAATAAAACATTTTTTCTGCATTTTTTCTTTATTTTCGAATTGATTCCAATTTCCCTCATTGCATGCATTTTCAGTGGTGCATCCCTGGGTTTAAATTTCCACAACTAAACCTTATACCATGTGTTTCCCTGATGGTCATACCACTACCCAATCACTTCTAAAATATTGATATCCCACTCATATTTTATTCCATTCCCATTTTTACATAAACTAGTCATGAAATTTTTAAATTTGATAATTATGACAATAGTTATAATAGTTATATAAATATTGGAGCGAGGAATAACAACAAATGACAATATAATGAGACATGTATACATGTGTTTGTTCTCTTTGTTTCCCATTTCAATTACTAGAAAGAACAGAGCTTATAATATTTTAGGAATTGGACATGTGGTGATGACCGGTGCTGTTGTGGGTGGTGAAGATGGAGATGGAGTCTAGAATTGACGTGTTGGATCTTGATTCCAACCCATCTTTCAGAAAATAATGTGTTTGTTTTCTTCTTATAAGAAAAAGTTGTAATATTAAAACACTGTTCTGTAATTGATACCGAGATTGATAGTGTATTATCATGTACTGAAATTTTACATCGAGATTCGGATTGATCGATAGCAAAGTTGAGTGAAAATTAGATTGTGTTTAGTAACATCCAATAAAAAATAATAAAATGTATTTTTATTAATTTCTCCATAAACGCAGGAGTACTCATTTCATAATGTAGTTTTTGAGAAAGGAATCCGAAAATGTCATTCCAAAAATAATTTTTAAAAACATGTTTTAGAATTGATTTTTTATTTCATATTGATGAGTTTGGAATACTTTTGAAATATATAATGAGGAAGTACACTCCAGATCTACAAAATCTGAAATATATTTTTAAAAATTAATACTAAAAATATATTATGGAATCCATTTTCTAAAATATGTTTCCAATAATATATTAACAGCAGAAGGAAAAATAAAAATACTTTAGTAATATTTAAAAATCAGAGATTTAAAATTTTAAAAATAAAAAATAAATACTTTCATTGGGGCTAAATAAAAAGTAGGAGTAAGGGTTAAATAGAATTTAATTTAATTTAATTATAAAAATCCAGAAAAAAAAACTATGGAGATGAAAAAAGAAAATATCTTTCACTCATCATTGGATTTGGGTGGGATTAGTGCAGAAAACCGAGTCATAAGCCCAAAAATTAGGTACATAAATCTTGAGTATTTTTTTTTCTTTCTTTGCTCTTTTTTCTAAAACAACAAACAAATAAATAATAACATATTAAAATTAACATTTTTAAATAATTTGACTAATGAATGAATGTCGTTTTCTAAAAATAAGAGCTATAGTCGATCATTAATATTGGGCTGGGTTAGGCCCGTGTAATCTTTGCCCACACATGTTGGTATGTCTTCCGTCTAATAATGAATATTAAAATTTAACTAAATTAAACATATAAAAAATATTATAATATCATCATGTAAAATAATTTTTTAATATATTTTAAAAATGAAATTAAAAATATTTTTAATTAGTTGACACTGTAATGGTGTTCTAAAATATTTCAAGATAAACTTCGAAAAAAAAATCCTAAAAAAAGGCAAGGAATTATTTTTAGAGTAATTTAAAAAATGAATGATCATTAAGAAATTAAAAAAAATAAGTGCTAACAAAATATATATTACACTTTTTATGTTTAACTTTTGAATTCGTTGTTATCAAAATCATTTTAAAATTAGAAGGTTAACAACTGATTTTATGTTGTAAAATTGTAAATTGAGTCTATCAAACCATTGGAATGAGATAAATAAGATGGAGATTGACATAACACTGTCACTTACTACATATCAAAGGATAGTTGTAACAAGTAACATACATTTGAGAAGAGAGAAAAAAAGAAAAAAACCCTTAACATCTACATAAACAACTTCAAATCAAAAGGATTGGTTCCCCTTCCCTTTAGGAGTTAAAATGCCATTCCGGAATCACCTAAAAATCTATGCGGGTCATATGAAGCTCCTGCAGACCTGTTTGGTAAAATGGAGGTCGCAAACACCATGCTGTGTTCACTTTAGTTACCATAAACTATGTACCACCAAAAATCTGCTAAATAAATATAATTTTCCAAGAACAAGCATGCTGACATCAGTTGCTTAGGCCGGAGTCAGCTACACCGATTCTGTCATAATTTCTGATAAACCTCCTACAAAACCAGCTCTTGAGTGTCCAAGTTTGCCGCAGCATTCCTTCATATAGCTCTTACAACATCCACCAAATTCTCTCTTGTCCAAACCAAGACAAACATGCATAATGGGAGATTCCTTGCATTCTTTTGAAGAGCACTCATTTCTGCAACATGCACTATCTTCTCTCTCGTTTGAACACTCACAGCCACACACAGCAGGCAAATTCTCGCATGTCTCTGAGCAGCCTTCACAGCAGGAACCTTTTTCTTTCTCTGCCAAACTTGAACAACCATGCATTGGGGCTAGTTCAACGTGCTCAATGATGATATCAATGGAAATTTCACCTGTCCCATGCTTCTCAAGGTCAGAACTACAACCTGGTTTTTTATGATGCATGTCTTGATTGGAATGTAAAACATTTCTGGATTCAGGGTCTTTCAGGTTTTCACAACAAGGGATAGAGTGGCAATGGTTATTGGCGTGTTGCTGGCCCTCCTTTTGACGTGAGAGATGAAGATGGCCAGGAGAACTATGCAAAACTTCACCATGAGCAACCATGTCAACATGTTGGTGGTGGCAGTGTTTTGTCCCATGAGCCTTATGTCCTGCACAATGGCCATGCCTGTTTGCTGCAACTGCATGATTATCTTCTTCATTTATAATCAAATTGCGTGAATTCAAGTGGTTTTCCGTATCATGCTTGTGGATTCCATCCTGATTCTTGTCACATCCTCCATGATGACAGTGATCATGTTCATGGAATTCATCACTTCCTTTACATTGATCATGACCCTTCATGGTCTTACAATGGTTAACAATTGCACCTAAACTTGAATTTGAAGAGCAGGCTGGAGGACATGTTGAGGAGCTTCTCTGGGAGGAGGCACACTTGTGAGGATCTTGACGTTGATCAAGTTGATTATGGCTATGATTTTGATGATTATGTTGATTACAGCTATGATGATCATGTTGATCTTGTTGGTTATGGTTATGATGTTGTTCATGCTCGTGTTCATGCTCATGTTGGTGTTGTGGTTGATGATGATGATGATGATGATGATGAGAGGAACTACCATGCGTGCCACCACATTTCTTAGGTTGAGAGATGTTTACTGTCTTGTCTGAGCGACAACATTTCTGGCTTTGAAGGTGATGGTGATCATGCTCATGTTCATGTTGATGGTGATGGTGATCATGCTCATGTTCATGTTGATGGTGATGATGATCATGATCATGTTGATTGTGAGCATGATCATGTTGATGATCATGGTTATGAGTGAGACCACATCCATTTTTGTGGTTATGCGATTTAGTGGAAGATCTACAAGATTTTCCTCCATGCTTGTGTCCTCTTCGAAGAAGTAACATGCTGTTCAAGATGACCAATAGACAGGTTCCAACATCAGCAACAACTGCTGCCCAAACCAATGGATAACCACCAATGGCCAAACCAATAATCGCAGCCTTAGTACTGATTGACAAAAGAATGTTTTCTATCACTTTCCTACGTGCTTTTCTTGCAAGTTTAATGGCTTCTGGTATCTTCCTAATGTCATTTGACATAAGAATTATATTGCCTGTCTCACTTGCCAGTGCAGAACCTGAAATACCCATTGAGATTCCAATATCAGCTGCAGCTAATGCCGGCGCATCGTTTATACCATCTCCAATCATGGCTGTTGGACCTTCCGTCTTAAAAGCTGAGATGATTTTCACCTTGTCCTCTGGCAAAAGTTCTGCATGGACTAACTCCAGAGAATGCCCCAGCTGTTGATGAAACCATTGTTGCCATTAGTACTTAACTGAGGTTCCATTACTCAAACTTGTGCATGGAAAGTTAGCATTAATAACATAGCCTATTCAGATATTTACATATGGAAAATTGAATGGCCTACTGACATCTTAAGCATTAAAAGTTCAATTGTCAAAACATATAAGTTCACTTTGAAAATAGAGAATCTGACACTATTCAAAATTACTATGGTGACAGGTTGCTACAATTTACCCATATTATATTCAACAAAGTTGGAGCATATAACATCACACACCTGCTCCTGTGCTTGCATCGCGGCAGATTCACCATCACCAGTGAGCATAGCTGTTTTGATTCCCAATGACTTCAACTTCCCAATTGCTTCCTGAACCCCTAATCTGCAAACATCCGAAAGAGAGAAAAATCCAACTGGGGTTGCTCCCAAGTATATGTATCCAGTGGTCTTTCCTCTTGCAATTTCACCTTGTAAGATTGGAACTACAAAACAAAACCATCACAATAAACATCTCACTCAGTTCGAAGAAAAGAAGAAAAACAAAATATTAACCTCTAGAGAGCGTAAGGGTAAATTCTAATTGGATTAAACTATATTGGAAGTAAAAACTACATTGTAATCTCTTTCCGATAGCATTATTATATTTCTACAACCTCAATGGAAAAGGAATTCACCTGTTTCTGACCCGGCTCTTGCGGAAATTCTTTTGTTTCCAATGTAAATAACTCTGTCTTCAATTTTTCCACATATTCCTTCCCCAGGAAAGTTTTCAAACTCTGTCACCTTTTCTGGCACTGGTTCAACGGAGAGAGACCTTCCATAATCCACAATCGCTGCTGCCAGTGGATGGCTTGACTTGCTCTCTACACTTGACACCCTGAAAAGTTTAATCTAAACTCATTGATCTCATAATCCAACTATTTATTTAATCTTTATTCTAAAAATAGGCTTCTGAAATTTCCTAAGAATATTATGTTATATCTGCTATACACACAAGATAACTATCACTTTCGCTTGTATGTTTCTTTTAAGTAAATAGTACACAATACATAGTGTAAAGAATTTTTTTTTCAATGCTATCAAATCACAAATTGTTATATATATTAAGGTTGTTGACTTTTACACTATCTTTCATTAATATGTTTATTTTGTTTAGTAAATAGTTTATATGCTAACACTCCTTGAATCACATACTGTCATATGTATTAATAAAGTTCATTGATTTTAATAATAACATTCTTAAATGAACTATCTAAAATATTTTCCATTCACATAGTGCATGTAAATTAAACTTTTTTTTTAACACTTACATTTCAGAGATGGTCAGAAATAGCAGTGTAAGGGAAACAAGGGCTATCCTTACCAGTAAAGCAATGTGTTCAAATCAATGTCATCTGAAAGAGATTGAAACTGCGTGACCACAAATTCACCCTTCGTTATGGTACCCGTTTTGTCAAAGGCCATGACCTTGATTTTTGCAAGTGTTTCAAGATGGTGACCCCCTTTGATGAGAAGACCTGATGTGGCTGCTCTGGTGTAAGCGCAAAAGGTTGCAACTGGCGTTGAAAGGATGAGTGCACATGGACATGCACTTACTAAAACAACCAACGCCATGTGAACCCAGTGTTTCTCGTTACGTAATCTTAACGCCACTGGAATTATCGCTAGAAGGGTTGATATGCCCACAACGGCTGCAAAACATTACCAACAAAAAGAAAGGCCGATGAATTTGAATGCAGGCAAGAAACCAATGACTGAAAACTAGAAGCAGCGTTATGTTTTGAGGAAAAGAAAAAATATTGATTGGATGAAATACTTCCCATTTTATTTTGAATAATGGAACCTATTAGCATTACATGTTATTCTATTTTTTCGTTTTATCAATTTCCATCATTTCAACACGGTCTAATGGCAGGCATGCAAAGAGTGCAAAAATGCATGTAAAAGTGACCTTCATTTGTAGACTTAACATATGACAAGAACATAGTACGAAATGGAACCATGCAAAAGTGATTGAAACAAAAACTGGAGATTTTGGCTAACCAGGGGTATAAAACTTGGCAAACTTGTCGATCAAACTCTGAACACTGGTTTTACTGTTTTGAGCTTCTTCCACTAGCTTTGCCATTTTAGCCACCACACAGTCTTCAGCCAGTGCAGTAGTTTTCACACTAATATAACCTTTTAATCAATCAAGAAAACACATTAAATTCACAAACTTGGTCTTGGAAAAAACTAATTACCAACTATTTTTCTTCTTATATTTTCTCTTTTACGAATGACACGTTACATATAATGGACTAAGAATTACTTACCATTTAAATTGATGGTGCCAGCCCATACAGTCGAATCCTTTTGTTTTGCCACAGGGAATGATTCTCCAGTCAAAGTTTTCTCGTCAACTTCACAGGTTCCATCTAGAACAACTCCATCAATGGGTATCACCTCGCCTGCTTTAACTGCTAAAATGGTGTTCACTTTCACCTCATCAGCATCCACAACCTCTCCTGTTTCAGCTATGACTGCTTTTTGAGGGGCTAGGTTCATCAAAGATGACATTGCTGCATTTGCCTGAACCCATACATTTTTCGCAATTTAGAAGCTTAACAATATTTCATACTATCAGAATTGAAACAGATATTTATACTGATAACATCTATACGTGAGACAACATTGACCAGTTTACATGGACTCCATCCATCAGTTTTCTACATCACCTACATAATTATGTTAATAATTCTTGAGTCTTAAATCACACATTTTTTGTATGCTTTTTGTGTAATCAATAATGCAATTAGACTTCTTATGTATAACCCATGTTGCTTTCTTACACTCAAGAGTGTGACAACCATTATCCATAAGTAATTATCAAATAAGGTTTACAATAGATTTCGGGTCCACTATTTTTTTTATTAATTCAAGAATAAGACATTAATAATTTAGCCAGTGTTAAACATTATAAATAAGTAAACACCTTGATTAATACAAGAATATGTGTGAATGTGTGTTTGAACACCTGACAGTGATCACTTAAATTATCTAATGAGGTTTTATAATAGAATCCAGTCCACTAAGTTATTGATTAATTCAAGAATAATACATTAATACTTGAGGCAGTGTTAAGGATGACAAATGAATACCTTGTGACTTGCCCTTGATTCTAGCCATTCTGCAATTGAGAAGAGGAAAACAATGGTGCCGGCTTCCAAATAATCATCCATAGCAATTGTTCCAATAACTGTCAAATAGAAAGAATTAGTGAAATTCTACAATATTCCAAATGTGTAAATCTTATAATAATAATAATAATAATAATAATAATAATATTTTTTTAGATAATCAGAATTTAATTATATCCCTTTCTTAAGCTCTATCATTCACCTTTTAGCTAGCATTTAGTCTGATTTAATATCCTTGTTAAAACTTCTAAATGTCTTTTTCACAAAATGTAAAAAGTCACATAAAACAAGCTATCATCTTTCTAATTTCTACAATAGGTGATGTTTCAACTTTTTCTCTGATGTATATTTACTTTTTTTACCCTATATTTTGTGATGCTAGTCATTCAGTACCATTTCTCTTTTACTTATATTGAATCTGTGCTCTTATTAGTTTTCTATTGTACGTCTTACCTATGTGGCAAAGATATAAATAAAAGAAGATTTTATGTGAACAAAACTGATTATCTTAGATATTCAAATCATTATTATGTTTTAACGTATAGAACTTTCATAAATACCAATAACCTATCTTGACAGAATATATTTACTCATCTGAACTAAAAATTAATTGCTTAATTTGGATGCCTATCAAGTTTGATTTCATCACGACTTCTTTGTTGTTTGTTTCTATCAAATGTTTGATAAGTTAGTAGAAAAGATATTTCAGTGGGTTAAGTTTGTGCTTTATATGGCTTCAATAATATATGCAAGTTAGTACTGTGAGTAGGTAACTACACAAAATATCACGTGCAGTGTGAACCTGAGAAGAGCCTTTCATCAATTTTAATTGATGAGCAAACGGTGATGTTTGTTTGTTTGCTACATAGAAGAGTTTCAGAATGTTTGAATGGATCCTTTCAGCTGCTACATTTTATGTGGTTTTTCACGTGAGAGTTGCAGTTACTGGTTTTAGCTTCTGTGATAAACTGTGGTGTGAACCCCTTTCCAACCCCACATGTTTTAGTATGATCTAAATCTAACATAAACTAAAAAGTATGATATTATATATAAATAAATAGATGCAAACCTTAATTATTTTATAAATCAGTTTAATAAGCTTGTTTTTAAAGATTAATTTAATTATTTTGCATGACAAGAATATATGAAATCATTGAAGTTTCAGAACCTACGAAAGAGAATCATGTGTACCTAGGATGTGAGAATCTCCACGTGATTATATTAGGTGGAAAATGAAATGGAGATGAATATCTTATACATGGCAGAATTTGTGTGTCTCTATTCAGGATTTTTGTTGGAAGAGTTGTTTTGGGGTGAGTTTGAAGATAGGGAGAAAATATGATAAAGTATGCTGAAGGTTATTTTTAAATTTCAGTTAAATATAAAAGAAAAAAAAAACGATTTACCAGAAATTAACAAAAACTGTCAATAGTTATTTTAAAAACAAAAATTCATAATTCAAAAAGTTAAATATAAAACTATATAAGGGAAAAAAATTACTCTAAGTTATAATAATTGTAAAAGAAATATAAAATAATAAAAAAATGCAAATAGTTAAGTAAACTATTTTCAGTTGAATATAGATTTTTATAACAAAAACAATTTACTAAAAGTTTAATAAGTTATTAAAGAAAAACTTAAAATTGTGGTGTGTTACTTTAAAAGAAAATATCCTAAAAATATTTAATCTATAACAAATAAGTTTTAAATTATACATAGAAATAAAGAACAAAAATGTATATAAATTTGAAGTTGTGAAGTGTCCTTTCATTACTTCTTTTTAGAGAAGGGGTTGTTTTTAATTTAAAACATTATTCAATAAATAAAAATAAAATAACAAGATTTTTTTGAAAAATTAATCATTGGTTTTAAGAGTTAAAGGACAGAAATTTTGGAAAAATATGCAAAGATGGGTTTTCAAAGTTTATCTAAAGGCATATATGATATGAACTCGAAAATTTATTTAAACAAAATATGCACAATTTTAATATAAGATATTGTACAGTTCAAATAATTGTTTTTTTTATATGACTTTATTTAATAATATTAATAAGGATAAGAAAAAAGTTAAAAATGAAAATATTATATAAATTAATTTTTTTCATATTTTTTACAATAAAAAAGAGAATGATGATATATATAATTCAAAATGTGTCAACTAGCATGTCAGTCATTTTACATTGAAAATTTAATGATAATTATAAGAAGGGTAAACATAAAATAAATAAATACTATAGATTAATTGTTTCCCTTGAATTGTGTGATTTTCTCTAAGAAATCTGGTAATAAAGACAAAGAGAAATCATGTAAAATCCAAAATGTGTCAATGTCATAATTCTTCTATCATAGCAGCCTTTTTAACGTTGGTAGTTTTCTATTTGAGTGATGTGAAGGAATCGCACAGCGGTCCAATTTAATAATAAAAAAAAAATAGATAGTTTCATAACTTAAATTGTAATTCTTATAAATAACTCTATTTTAATATTATAATAATTATTTTATTTTATTTTTATTTTTATTAAATTCTATAAATTATTATATTAATAAAAATAAATTATTTAAAAGATTATATGATTTCTAATTATTAAAATATCACCACTCATTTGATAAATACAATCTCGAATTATTAAAGTTATTGATTAAATTAGGAGGAAAAAATAAAAATAAAGATATTTTCAATAGAACAAATAAGTTGTCTCTTATTTTAGAAAATATAAAACACAAATTTATGATGTAATATCAGTTTTAATTAACTTATTATTGATTTTATTTGAATAGAAAGTTTTTTTAATAGATTTTAAAGACCTCATCCTCTTAAATTGTCTAAATCAACAATATTTTAGTTAAACGTTTCATCAAACCAGTCTCATTATAAAGATGTTGTAAGAATTACTGATAATTATATTTGTTAGGCCAATATGCCTACGACATAAAGTAGATGCCGTGTAACATAAGGATCAAAACTGAATAAAGTCATAGGTGGTAATAAATTATTAAGATAAAGAATTAATAAATAAAAAGAAAATGAAGAGATAAAAAAAAATTACCTGCTATGATCATGAGAATGCTAACATCAAGCCTAAGGTTCCGTATGGAGACAATGGCCTTTAGGATGATTGGGTAGATACCCACAGCAACAGCACCAAGTGCCAAATACTTGAGAGGATTATACACAAATTTGAGAAAGGAAAGCAAAAGTAGGACACCAGATGCTATTGAATAAGGGCTTGGCCATCTCCTTTCCTGCTTTTCTTCCCCATACACTCTCATATTAGCCTCTAACCTTGCTTGATTCAGTGCCTTAACTGTGTCCATCACAACCTTTTATTATTCATTTTACCCTAATTATAATTATACATATCTTTTTGCATCAAAAGATAAAGGTACTCTTAAAGCAAAAAAAAAAAAGATAGATAAACAGACTAACTTTATTCAAAGGGCACAAATGCTATATGTATAATAGGACTTTTGTCATATAGGATACACTTTGCATTCACAAAAGAATATTGTTACAAATTTAATTTTAATGATGAGATTAACTAATCTGTCTGTGGTTAAAATAAATTCTACTTAATTAAAATTAAAATATATTTATTTATTTTAAAAGAAAATGTTAAGAAGATAAAATCTAAAACAAGAAAAGTTGGGAAATCTATTTTAACCCCTCCAAACATGAGATTTGTGGAGTCAAATGTGGAAGAAACGCATTTAGTCATAATTTCTGTCCAAGTGAAAAAGTTGAGATAAAGAGGCACTTCCTTTTCCATGGATAATGCATCATCTTTAACTTCAACACGCTACGTTCTGGGAAAAGGAAACTTTGTGAAAAAAGATGACAATGGTGTTCTTATTTCATGGAAAGAGGATGCTCAAGCACGCAAGATAATCCTCGGGTTTTTCCTAGCTTTTATAACGGTCAAATACACTTAGGGCAATTTATTACACAAAAATAGTTTTTGTTTTTTCAATTTATTCTGAATTCCACACAATTATATTAAAAAAATGATAATATTAATAAAAAAACTAACTGTGTCTCAGAATCAACAAAGTACAAGTACCAAACTCCTTTACTAATTAACTTATGGAAACATAGAAAAAGAATCTTTCACCCCGTTTCGATAAACCATTACAAAAAAGTTAGGTAATCCCATTATAGCACCTTTATCTTCCTGCTATGCGATCCAAAAAACTATAAAAAGGTTGTTTGGAGTAAAGTTTTATAATTATTGTTATGAATTTTAATGCATAATAATAATAAACTCTAATGTGTCATATGAAGAAGGAAAAATTATTAATTTCAAAATAAAAAATATTTTTAAAGTTTTTCAAGCTCAATTTAAAAGTACACTTGAACAGAGAAAAAAAAATCGCTTCTTCACTCCATATGATTAAACAAAAGTTTAATTTTATGATTTCCATATGAGATATATGTTACAAGCTTTAGGATATCATGATTGCGATATAAAATTCATGAGAAAATAAAAGTTAAAAATTATATACTTTTTAATAAGAAAAATGTGTTTGGAGGAATATATATGAAAGAGTATCTTGTCAACTTTCTGTGAGTATAGAATAAGAAACAAGATGATGAAAATTAGAAGAGGAAAAAGTGATTTGAGAGAATAAATTACCAATTTGAAGCTGCGAAATGACTAGAGTGTCGTGGAGAACAATGACAGTTCGCGAAGGAACTATGACAGAAACCTCTTTGATTCCTTCAAGAGGTTTCAAGATGTTTTCGATGAGTGGCACTTCAGAGGAGCAGCACAGACCCAACACATCAAAGTAGCTTTTCTGCAATTTTTTACTCTTCTCCATGACAACATGTAAGGTGAAATTCCAAAGCTTTGATCAAAACACCTGAAACCCCAGAACAAGAATCACCCAAATGAAACTCCTCTCGGATCATTTAAGAAAACAAAAAACAAAAGAACAGATGATTTGAGGGACCAGAAATGCCCGTTACTAACTGATAAGAACCAAACCGTTAAACAAGTAGAATGATGCATCATGTGAGACGAATAGCAAAATGAAAAACATGGTCCAACGTAAGAAGGGAGAGGGGTGAGAGAGAAAGAAAAACCACCTTGTTGTGAGGAGAGAGAAGAGGAATATGGTGTTGAAGTTAATTGTGTGAAGCGGTGCAAGAGGAACGGGAGTTTAAGTAGGCAAACTCTGGGTGGGGTACAAGGAAAAAGAAATAAAGAAAGAATGAAAAATAAAAAATAAAAAATAAATAAAAAGGAACAAAAGATGCACTATGATTTGAAGGGACAGGTACACAAGTTTTAATTACACAGAAAAAACACTAATTGGAAAGTTAATTAAACACAAAATAATCACCATACTTCAATTATTATTTTAGTTTATTTTTAGGGATGAGACAGGGTGTGTAGTGGAGAATCAACAAGATTAATGGAATCCACCTATGAATCCACACTTTCTTTTTATTTTTAGTACAATGGGTTTAAACATTCAAACCAAAAACATCATCACAAAGCATTATCTTTCTTAAATTTACTCCACCATGTCCATTCACACATGGGACCTTAATTTTGCAGTATTGTTAAAAACAACCAGAAACTATAATTAGATTTAGTTTTATTTTTATTAATTGTAACAGTACCTTCAGGAAGGAGAAACTATATGAAAAATAGGAAAGAGTTTGTTTGAAATTACATTGTGATTAACTCATATTGTGATTATAATTTGTTGTCTTATATGACAAACAAAGTTTAAATTATTTGTACATAAAACTTAATGAAGTTTATTAACTGAAGCTTTCAGATGCCATGAGACACACATGAGAAAATCATGTTGCTATAATTTAATGTTTTTCTTTTCTTCGTAGGTATCTTTATTGGGAAACTTTTTCCGTTAAAGATTTTTTTGAACATTAAACGTAAGTAACTCTTCTAGCAAAAATCCAGATTAAATGAAATCTTGTCTTCTACGTATAACCACCCTTCGCACTTCTTACTTTATCCCTATTTTCTAGGATCTAGGTGAACGTTTTACGCTTTTGAGATAAAATACAAAAAATTAAAAGGAATTTATCGTTAAAATAAATGAAAAAAGGTGTATATATTTTTAATTTCATTTCAAGAAATGGAACTTTTTAAATTTATTATAAAGAAGCATGCATGTGAATTAATTTATTTTGAGAAATAGACATGTTAATTTGTCGCTGACTCTTTTTTTTCCTACTTGTTAAGAAAATACTTTTTTAAATATGATGTAATAAAATATAACGATATATAGTTGCCATGCCACTTTAACTTCAGAGTGTAACACATCAAAATCTCACCATAAATTTTTCTTCTTATGTTTTTGGTGAGACACTATCAGAAATTATTATCAATAGTGAGGGACAAATTTAGTAAACAGACAACGGAAGAGTGTACTATAATATTCAGCACAGATCAGTGACATTTTTAATTAATTTCTGGATATACTATTTAGATTTAGATATTTAAATCTGTAAATAAAAAAAATTATTATCAATATTAAGTGTTAATTAATTAAAAATAAATAATGTAGAGGAATTAATCTCATTAATAATATATTTAAATAAAATATTTGTAAATTTATTATTAATAATAAATTTGTTTTAGATAATACAATTATTATTTTCTCCTTCTCCATTTATATCTTTATTTTATTTTTCTCCTTCTTTTGTTTTTCTCTCACTACGTCTTATTCTTCTAATTAAAAAAAAATAGTAGATTGAAATTTGATAAAATAAAATTTTTATTATTTATAAAAAAATAATATTTATATTATCTATAAATACTATAATTTAATATATTATATTTAAAAAATATTATATGATAAATTCAAGGTATTATTGTTATATAATAATTATTAACAAAAATTAAATATTTATTCTAAAGTAAATTTGTTATTAATTATTTTAATTCTTAATCAAATAAATAATTAATTGATTATGATTAAATAATTTTAAATTAATTATTTACAATTTGTAAATAATTATTTATTTCATTATAATTTAAAATTTTTTTTGATATATTTTTAGTTTTAATTTTGATTTTAAAAAATATTTTAACATATTTTTATTAAATTTAGATATAATAATTTTAATTATAAGAATAAGTGAGAGAAGAAAAAGAAAAACAAATAATTTGAAATAGGAAAAAAACAAAAAAAATAAAAAATAATTTAAAATATATTATTTATGAAATTAATTTTATATTAGAGACAATTTATTAACAGATATATTTTTATCACTCTTCCATAAAAGTTTTAAAAATGTATATTTTACAAACAACCATTCAATTGTTTCTTTACAAATCATAAACTTTTATAGGATTCGTTGAGCTCATTTATGATTTAATAATTATTTAATAAAGTGTAACAGTAAAAAAAAATGTATTGCCTCAAAAGACGTGTATCGTAACAAAACCTCGTTAGAAAGTTAATAAAAAGAAAAAAAAAAAAAAAAAAACAGACTTGACAAATAAAAGAAACGGCACAATGGCATAAATGAAAAACATTGAAAGATGCTACAGAATGAGATGCGGTTCTAAAAACATGAATCTAAATTTTCCATTCAATTCCATGTCACACCTACATATCGTCGATTCAGTTGTTGAATCACAATTTATAAGTAGATATATCAATTTATTTGTTTATGTCAAACGTAATTAGAGTTTTAACATGTATTATTGATGAGGAACTAATTAAAATGTTTCAGTTTAACATTTTAACATAAAATTATTGAATGAAGTGATGTATAGTGGCGAAGGAAATAGATTTATTTGAAATAATAAAGCACAGTGACGTGATTAGATAAGAAGGAGAAACTCGTGGGATAATGAACCTACGTGAGTGTGACTTACAAGTTACTAACACCAATTTTTTTTCCTTTTTTTATAAAAGAAACATCATCGAACGGAGATGGTTGCAGTGAATGAATTGAAAATTGAAGGAAGGCATAGTATGAAATTTGGTCAACTGTTTAAGAGGAAAGTTGAAGAAAGGAAGAGAGAGAAGGGAGTTAAAGAAACAAAATGAAAATGCATGGGATTTCTAATATCCAGTTAAAGAAAATTTCTAATTGAATCCCACATGCTTTAACCGATTATGTTCTATGCAAAACCTGAACAAATAATAACAAATTCTATAACCAACCAAACTCATCTATTCATGTATTTATGAGATCTATTTCTAAAAAACAAAATATATTTAATTAAATTTATGAGGACACTCTAAAAAGAAGCATATATTTTTATTTTTTATTTATAAATAGAAATATATTTGTATCTATCAGTGAAAAGTTTATATATATATATTCCACCGCCTGCTGGGTTGTACTTTTGAAAGCGGAACACTTTTATGCTTTACACATAACGAAATAGTTGAAGTTGTAATTGATACCAACCTTTCTTCACCACAATTTTTCTTCAGCTTCAAACCGCCATGAACATGGTTGCCATCTATGGAACTCAGAACAATTTGTGTTCATCGGCCATGGCGTACGTGGTGAAGAAGTCAATGAAGCAGCCACTGCAACTGAAATGCTGTGTAAAAGTTCATCTTCAAACTTGGATCATCAAATTCAAATGGGTAGAAAGGATAGTAAGAATTGAATTATATAACGATTAATCAGACTGAAGGGATAGATAGAGGGTTTGGCATGAGAAAATAGAACCATAACCATAATCGAATAGACAAACAAATAAAATAAGAAAATATATATTTTTAAAAGGATATGCTCCGTGGATTGTCCGCACAAACGTTTTATCCAATTTTTTTTATCTTATATCCTATGCCTGCAGGTTAAAAAAAATTCTGTTAAATATATTTATCATTTTTTTTAATTGATAATCATTATTATCAGGTTAAATATTACGGAAATATTTTATAATTTTAGCCATATTAGAATTATAAATGAGAACCAAATTTTTTATTTTTGTTCTTTTTTATGGTGATGTTTATAACACATGTGTAAGAAACACTGTATTAAAAACACAGAACGCATTAATGAACTGATGCAAGATTTCCCTTGCTTTAATTGAAGATTTTGATTTCAAATGTATTAAACACTCGTAAAAGCAATCATTTGTCATCATCCTGTAGCTCTCATCGTAATAAGGTTCTAAATAGTGAAATTTTGAGTTATATTACCTTATAACGTTTTTATAAAAACCACTAAGTTTTATGAAAAAATAATACAATTTTATTCCTACCACTTTTATAAAAGATTTGTCCTGTTATTAATTTCGGTGTTGGAATATTTTTGTAGCTATTTCTTACCATCAATTGTTCGGATCCGAAAAATTACTAACCAATGCATCCGAACAAAAACTTCGAGAAGATACAATATTCTAAAAAAAATAACTTCAAACAAAAAGTTAGTGTTAATCTATAAGAACATATTTTATATTTTATTTATTAATTTCTCTTTAATTGAAGTTAAAATGCCACGTATGAACTTTCACATATATAATATTTTCATACTAAATTTCATAATTTAATTAAACATTATTGAAAAAGAAAAAAAAACTTGAAGAATATAATGAAAAAAATAATTCACAATTATTTTTTTCTTGGATAATTTTGGTGGATCCTTACGTATTAATTGACAACTATCCCTTTACTGTAGCGACCCAAAATTGTTGGAGTCCATTTATATTTTATAAAAACAACATGATTGCATTCCAACAGGCCCAACACCACTAAACCGCATTACCTTCGGTAGAAAATCCAAACACCTCAATTTTTATTTTTTTTAAACAAATAAATTTTATCACTTGACTTATATATATATATATATATATATATATATATATATATATAAATAAGCTATATTTTATTTTGAAATAGACTTGTAAATGAATCGGAACAATAATAATAAATTAATCATAATATATAATTAGAAAGTTATAAATAAAGTTTTCATTAGATTAATATATTATTTGAGTTTGAATTAAAACTTATCCTTAAAAATAGGAAGAAATTAGTTAAATGGATAAGTATGTCTTTTATTGTATTGAAATTTTCAGCCCAACTTAATTAGAGACAATTAATAACCTATTATTAAAAATATAATAATTTGATTTATTTAAAATATTAAAATTTAAGATGTTATTAATAATTAGCAATTTCAACCCAATCATTAGATAAAGACAAGACGATAGTGTTTAATTAAAATGTCAAACTGAAATCAGTATGTTTGTGGCAAACAATTTTGATTACAGAAAATTGAGACATGATAATAATAGGAGTGTATGTATGTGTTCCATATTTTTGTGCTCCTCCTCCTCACAATCATCTTTTATTGGAAACCTTTCATTTGTTTATTCCTTATTAAGACAAACAATCATTACAACCATGACTAGATCCATAAAATAACCTCAACCAATTTGTTATTCATTATTTATGTTTCTTCTTCTTCTTTTTATCCATTATTTGTTAAATAAAAAAAAGGATGAATATGAATAATTTATTTAAGAATACGAAATAAGAAATTAAATGTACAAATATTAGGTTTTTCTTATATTAATTTTATCAATAACTTTTTTCCAGAAAAAATAGATTGTATTATTGGGAACTATTCATTTGTTACATTTGTTCTCTGTGTAAATAGAATATTCATTTACGAAATTCTTCAATTTTGATATCTCTAAGTTATTTAGCAATATTGATAATTTAAAGTGAAAAGAGATAAACTTCAAAGCCAATAAATATTCATAACTTGAAATAAAAAGAGATAAACTTCAAAGTTAGTATGTAATCCACTCATGTCATGTTAAATAACAAATTCTTGTAAATTAACACCACAAAGGCTTATTTTTATAAGATAATATTTTCACAACCTCCTCACTGGATAAATTTAAAAACATTTATATATATATAAACATTTTAGTGGTCTTATGCCAAGTTCATATAGAGAGAGTGGTATTTTTGTTGGCAAATTTTAGGTAATGCATATATATGATACATAATTTAAATGTGTTAGGGTCATTATTTATTAAGTCAAATAATAAACTGATCTGACTAAATTAAAGTTTTGGCTAAATACATATGTCATGAAAAATAAAATTGTATAGATACTATAGAGTAATTTATAATTTGATGAGGGGTCAAATTAGAAATACTAAAACTTAAGTAATTAATCTAATTCTGGTTATTTAAATGGTCATGGTCCCCTTCTGATAGCACACACGCAAAACGTAAGTCTCATTCGCGTTTCTTTCTTTATATCCTTATCAAGAGAGAAAATCTAGAGGGAAATACAGGTGCTCAGGTGGAAGACCATAAGATCAATAGTACTCTACAAGGATATCATCATTATGGCTAATTCAGGTACGCTTTCACATTCAGTTTACAACATTTTTATGAGAATGAGATAATGTTTATGTATGATCATTATAATCAAAATTAGGATCATAATTATTATTATTTTTACTAATAAGTGATATTAGAGCAACCCATACTTTATTTATGTTTGTTTATATAATCAAGAACGCTAGGTGAAAAATAATCTCTAATTTTCGTAAACCCTAAATTCAAATTTTTTGGTAAATTCTCAATTTTTAAACCTAATTTTGAATTTTGGGGGTAAAATCCCCAATATGCTTATACTCGCTTATCACAAGTCCGATCAAAGTGAACAAGAAAAGGAGCTCGGAGATTGTCAAATTTCGCGAAGATGTCGTGGTTTTCGTTCTTCAATAGGTCGAACATGATTCACTCTGAGCCCTCGTGGAAACCCTACGTTCCTCAGAGCTAGCAGAATCTGGACTGGTCCGGTTCTCTGAACCGATCCTATGGATCCGTGGAGTCGGCGAAAACCTCAATCCGCGGGAAAATGGTGAAGAAACTATGCACCTTGTTCGAGTCCTCCTCGAAGAAGACCCCAGAATCAAAATTGAAAGTGCATTGGGAGTTATGCACGACGACGACACTATTTCAATTGTCCGGGACGGAGGAGTCGATCGTGGTTATTTAACGAGCCTGCGCGGGGTTCAGTGAACGTTCGAGGACTGCAACACGATGCGCATGATCCTGAAGGAGTTTAGGGTTTGGGTGGACGAGAAGGACGTGTCCATGGACATTGCTTACAAGGAGGAGCTGCAATGCGTGCTGGACGAGCGTCACGTGGCGCTACCTCAGGTGTTCGTGCAAGGGAAGTACGTGGGTGGCACCGAGGTGATCATGTTGGAAAATTGTGATTTTGTTATATAATCACTATATTCAATATAAATAAATAATTATATAATTTTGGTTTTGTTATATAATCAATATATTTAATTTTTAGTAGTTTAATATTTTTTTAAACAAATTGGGTCAAAAAGTCACCAAAGTAATCTCTCTTAAATTGGATAGTTCAGTGAAAAAATATTGAATATTAGTGTTTGTGTATATTCAATACGAGTATTAATCGGCCAAAGGAAGATTAATATTTGGTCGAGTTGCATACACACCTATGATGGTAAACACATGATAATTATAAGGTTTTGCATGTTGATAATAAAATCAATCAAAAGATAGGTTTGTTATCAGACATGCCTTATTATTAGTGTTTGACCATTATAACAAGATACCCCTAACAGTTAATGTTAATATCCAAAGACTTCATATTAATGGTGCATTAGGTGTCTTGAGATAGGTTAAACCATTATTTGAATATTTATAATTAATTATTTTTATAATGTAAAAATAATTAGTTTGTTTCTTTTGTTCTTAATTTAGCTACAATTGCTTCTGTATCTGCCAATTTGAATTCTGTTTCGATCCTCAAAAGTATGTTTCCTACTTTGGTCTGTTCTGAAATCAATTTAGCGTCAGTACCTAGTAACACTTGGTGGTTAGACTCAGGTGCAACTACTAACATCAGTGTTTCTATGAAGGGTTGTCTAAGTTACCAGAAGCCAATTGATTCTGAAAGATGGATATATGTTGAAAATGGCAAATCGGTAGAGGTGGAAGCTATAGGGCATTTTAAATTATTATTAGGTATTGGTTTCTATTTGGATTTGAAAGATACTTTTATTGTGTCGTCATTTAGACAAAATTTAATTTCAGTTTCTTATTTGGACAAATTAGGTTATTCTTGTTCATTTGGAAACAATGAATTCAATTTGTATTTTAATTCAAATATTGTTGGAATTTGTTTACTTTTGCCTTATAATAAACTATATTTACTTGATACTGTGACCACCTATAATGAAACCCTTAATACAGAATTATGGGGTACTAAACGTAAAATCGACGATACTCACTCAGGAGCATTATGGCACATGCGCTTAGGTCATATCTCTAAAAATAGAGTTGAACGATTTGTGTCAAATGGAATCTTAGAATCTATTGACTTCACAAACTTTGATATTTGTGTTGAATGTATTAAGGGCAAACAGACCATAGTGAAGAGATTAAGTGCATATAGAGTTATAGACATCTTAGAGTTGATACATACGGATATTTGTGGGTCATTTCCTACACCTTCGTATAATGATCAACAATACTTTATATCATTCATAGACGATTACTCACGATATGTATACTTATTCCTTATACATGAAAAATCACAATCTCTAGACGTGTTCAAAACATTTAAAGCTGAAGTTGAAAATCAACTCAACAAAAGAATTAAGTATGTCAGGTCCGACTATAGTGGTGAGTACTATGGCAGATTTGACGGGTCAGGTGAACAACATCCAAGACCTTTTGCCAGGTACCTAGAGGAGTGTGGAATTGTCCCAAAGTATACCATGTCGGGATCCCCTAGTATGAATGGTGTAGTTGAAAGACGAAACTAGACTCTTAAAGATATGGTCAGAAGTATGATTTGTCATTCCACCTTACCGGAGTCATTCTGGGGAGAGACACTAAAGACGACAACTTATATTCTAAATAGAGTACCAACTAAAGCAACTACCAAAACACCTTATGAGTTTTGGACTGAGCGACAACCTAGTATGAAACATTTCTACGTGTGAGGTTGTCCAGCTGAGACAAGGCCTTATAAGCCAAATGAAAAGAAATTTGACTCCCAAACATTAAGTAGTTATTTTATTGGTTATGCTGAAAGATCCAGGGGATATAAATTTTATGATCTCATATTAAAGACAATTTTTGAGACGGGAACTAATATGTTCTTCGAGGATATTGAGTTTGAGGGAAGAATAAAATTAGAAATTTTGTCTTGAAGGAAGAATCGATAACAATTCCAAAACCGATTCATACAGTTACTTTTGATAAAATAAGTTCGGAATCTCCACAAGACATTGTTAATGAACACCTTACTCAAGATGATTTGGTTGTTCATGAAGAACAAACTCAAGATTCTCAAGAACCTGTGCATCATGAGCCAATATCTTTGCGAAGATCCACTAGAGAAAGAAGAAATGCTATTTCAGATTATTACATGGAATTTTCTTGAGGAACATGAGGAAAAAAATGGTATGATGGAAGATAACCCAATTAACTTCCGTCAAGTCATGCAAGGTTCTAACTCTGAAAAGTGGATTGAAGCAATGAAGGAGGAGTATAAATCCATGCAAGACAACAAGGTTTGGGAACTTGTCCCATTACCAGAAGGTATGAAACTCATTGGTTGCAAGTGAATATTTAAGACCAAACGGGATTCTAAAGGTAATGTGAAAAGGTATAAGGCTCGTTGGGTAGCTAAGGACTATACCCAAAAGGAAGGGATTGACTTTAAAGAGACTTTCTCTTCAGTTTCATTGAAAGACTCCTTTAGGACAACCATGACTCTTGTAGCACATTATAATTTGGAGCTTCATCAAATGAATGTCAAGACAATGTTTCTCAATGACAACATTGATGAGACAATTTATATGATACAACAAGAAAATTTTGTACAAGGAGATCCAAAGAATATGTTTTACAAACTGACAAAATCCATTTGTGGACTAAAACAAGCATCTCGTCAATGATACTATAAATTTCATCAAGTAATTCTCTTATTTGGCTTCGAGATGAATATTGTTGATGATTGTGTATATCACAAGTTTAAGGGGAGCAAATATATTTTCCTGATCTTGTATGTTGATGACATTCTACTTGTCACTAATGATATAGACATATTGCACGAAATCAAGAAATTTTTATCAAAGAATTTCGAAATGAAAGATCTTGGTGATGCCTTTTTTGTATTAGGAATTCAGATACACCGAGATCGATCTCGGGGTATTTTAGGATTATCACAAAGGAGCTATTTCGAAAAAATTCTTAAAAGGTTTGGCATGCATGAATGTAAATCCGGGGATACTCCAGTTGCTAAGGGAGACAAGTTTAGTCTCAATCAGTGTCCAAAGGGGAATTTGGAAATTGAGGAAATGCAGAAGATTCCTTATGCATCAGCTGTAGAGAGTTTGATGTATGTCCAAGTATGTCGCGTCCAGACATAACATACATAGTTGGGATTCTAGGCAGATATTTAAGCAATCCAGGAATGGACCATTGGAAAGTAGAAAAAAGGGTCATGAGATATTTAAAGAGAACAAAATATTATATGCTCACATATAGGAGGTCCGACCAGTTGGAGATCGCTGGGTTTTCTGACTCGGACTTTGCAGGATGTTAAGATAGTTTGAAATCCACTTCAGGTTACACCTTCATGTTGGCAGGTGGTGCGGTTTCTTGGCACAGTATCAAGCAAACCCTTACAGCTTCATTCACTATGGCAGTAAAATTTGTAGCATGCTATGAGACATCAAATAATGGAATATGGCAGAGAAATTTTGTCACAGGGTTGTAAATTGTGAAAGACGTTGAAATACCACTTAAGTCAAAGCACATCGACATTAAATTCCTAGTTGTAAAGGAAAGAGTACAAAGTGAACAGATTTTCATAAAACACTTAGGGACAAACTCCATGATAGTAGATCCTCTAACTAAAGGACTTCTGCCTAAGGTCTTTCATGAGCATGTTGCTCACATAGGTGTTTTACAGTTTGAGGAATTTGTAGTTTAGTGGAAGTTAGTCATTTTCATATATTTTATGTTCTATGTTTAATTTCATGTATGTATACATTAATTTTTGGACATATTTGGTTATCTATAAATATACGATTTTTCGTTCATTCATTACATTTGTACATTAAGGTTATTATATCGATCTCGATAAGTTAAAGTTTGAACCAGTTGAAAATAGACGTGTACAAATCACATGCACGTAATTTTTTATGCTACACATTTCATGATGAATCCATGTCATTTTATTTTGTCAAGATGAGTAATCATTGTTGGTTTTAGTTGCGATGATGTAATGAAAAACTGGTTTGGTTCTATATCCTGATATGATCAATGAACGAGACTTTTGGAGTATGCTAAAGAAATATAATGGCAATTTTGAGTTCATAAAGTCTAACACATTTATAAGGTTGTAAGGATATATATATTTGTGACCAGTGGGAGATTGTTGGTAAATTTTGGGTTATGTATATATATGATACATAATTTAAATGTGTTAAGGTCATTATTTATTAAGCCAAATAATAAAGTGATCTGACTAAATTAAAGTTTTGGCTAAAAACATATGTCATAAAAAATAAAATTGTGTAGAGACCATAAAGTAATTTCTAATTTGATGAGGGGCCAAATTAGAAATATTAAAACCACTAGTACAAAACAGGCTTTTAACATCGGTTCCCAGGGACTTTTAACATCGGTTCTAGAACCGATGTAGATACAGCCGATGTAGAAAGTCACACTTTCTACATCGGTTCCTAAGGAACCGATGTAGAAAGTGTGACTTTCCACTTTCTACATCGGTTCCTAAGGAACCGAATGTAGAAAGTCTAATATTTTTATATATTTTATTTATTTTATTTATTTTATTTATTCATAACCCCTCTCCAATTACCCTATCTATTGATCTAGAGGTCTCCTCTCCCTTTTATATTATATTTTTATTATTTATTATATTATTTATATTTTTTAGAAATTTGATTTATTATCAGATTAAGAGAATTGTCACTAGCAAGATTCGAACCCAAGTACCTTAGAGTCTGAGGCTGATACTCCAACCACTAAGCTATTAGGATTTTCTGATAATAACTTATACATAAATTATATTTATATACAAATAAAAATGTATATCCATGTAAATATATAAATATAAAATATATAAATATAAAATATATAAATACAAATACAAATATATTTATATATTTTATATGTTG